CTACAGGCCCGAGCAGAGTAGGTATACTCCTCTTTGGAGATGTACACCTGGTGGAAGGGGGGTGCTGCCGCCTTTTTGGCAATTGGGCATTACCGGACACCTTTGGTGAGCCAGGGGGGCTTTCAGGCACTCCTGCCCCCCTTGCTTCTTGTTGGGATGGTCACCCCTTGGGCCTTGAGTATCGTCTCCTTAAGGAACGACCACTCATCTTGGGCACTGAGCTCCCCTGCCCTCGGAACCCCAGCGCCTCTCCCACTAATCTCAACTCGTTGAAGTTGGCCCTCTTAAAGTCTAGGGCTACCGCCTTGCTGCAGGCCCTTGACGCCCTGCGCTGGATGGTGAATTCCAGTGAGTAATGATCTGGGTCATCTGGGTAGAGTTTCCTGGCTAGAGGGTTTTGCCCCGCTGCTCCAAGTCAGACCAGTGCCATATATGGGGTCAGGAAGGAATTTTACCCTCTGGTCAGACTGGGAGGGGTTGCCTTCCTCTAGCAGGGGGCACAGTCTCTGCCTGGGATCTCTTGAGCGTATATTAACCTTGTAGAAGCAGGATGTTGGCTGCTGCGGTCCCCCTGCTTTCCCTGTGGCAGGTTCAGGTGTGATGTCTGATGTTGTCAGGGTTGACAGTTTTGTGAAGAGTTCAGATGATGGCTTGTCAGGGCTGGTGCTGTCTTGGGCTGTGGTTGGGCCAGATGTGACTTCTGCAGGTCCCTCTAGGATGCTGTGACTTGTTCTGTAGACTCAGTCATTCCTGGGAGGCTTCATGTCCCAAAACTCCCTTCCCTTAAAGAGCCAAGCCCAGGAACAGCCTGGTTGGTGCCTGCCCTTTTCAGTGCAAGTGCTCCGTTTGGTCATGTCTACATTGCTGCAGCACTCCTGGAGCACTGCTGAGAAGCAAGCCCTGCCTGCTTGGCCTGGTCTGCGTAAGCTAGTCCCAGACACAAGGGCTGGAGCCACTCTCAGGCCTGCTGGAGATGGGCCGTGCGAGCAGTGGCAGGAGACATCCTCGCTGCCTCCGTTCCTGGCATGCTTTGGACAAGAGTGGGTGGGTGGGTCATGCTTCTCGACAGTGCTCCTCAGCACGGTGGAAAAGGCACAGACGTGTCCTTGCTGGCAGGGCCCTTGCGGAAGAGCAAGGTTCCAGTGTGGCCATGCTGCTCTAGGGTCCTGTCCCGCCCTGTGAGGAAGAGCAGGCATTTGGCATCTCTCAGCAGAGCTGCTGTGCAGCTTCAGGATGGGGTTGCCTGACTTCTTGAGGAAGGGGCTTAGGAGGGGCAGAGGAATCAGCAGGCATCTCCTCTATCTGGCTTGGAAGAAGGAAGGGCTCTGATGAGACCTGTGAGCAGGGGGCTAGGAAATGACGCTCTTTCTGCTTCGTGTCTGGCTCTAGCGCCATCCTCTATCTCAACGGGGACTTCGAAGGAGGAGCGTTTTACTTCACCGAAATGGATGCCAAGACTGAGACGGTCAGTGGCCTCGGCATGTGCCCTTTGGGTGATTGTGGCAGGGGCACGACTGGGGCTGGGTGCCCGGCCACGTTACACCTCTGGGGTCTGGATTAGACACCCCTGGAGGCATGGACAAACTGCTCCTCTCGCTTGCCCCTGTCAGCTCTGCCTGGCTAAACAGCTTAGTCCGAGAGACTGCGGCGGGAGCAACCCTGAGCTGGCGAGGCTGGAACTGCACGGCTGTCAGGATGCAGAAAGGGCCGGGCTGGATGCCGCACTCAGCTGCATCTCTCCCAGTCCTGAGCGTGGAGCATCTGCACAGCGTTCCCTCTAGTGCAGCAGCAGGGAAATGGGGCCTGGCTGTGCCGTGCTGTGGGCTGAGCAGGGTTCCCTGTGTGGCAGAGGGGGCTGCACTCCAGTGCTGGGCAGGGAGCAGTCCTGAAGAGAAGGTGGCCTGGCATTTGTGACAGCACCCCAGACCCAGCTCTGATGGTTCAGCCTCGCCAACTTCCACACGGGGCTCAGGAACATGGGGAGTGTCCACAGGGCAGTGCCGGGGGTAGCTCCTAACCAGTCTCCCCACTGCAGGCAGAGGTGCAGCCACAGTGTGGGCGTGCGGTTGGCTTCTCCTCGGGCTCAGAAAACCCTCACGGGGTGAAGGCTGTGACCAAGGGCCAGCGCTGTGCCATAGCACTCTGGTTCACCCTGGACCCCCGGCACAGTGAACGGGTAAGTGGTCCCAGGCTCCTGCTTTGTCTCCTCTTTCCCAAGGGCTCTAGAGAGCTCTGGGGCACAGAGATGACTGGGCGAGGTCTCCGGCAGTTCACCTCTCCCTCTGAAGCTGGTTTGTAGGTTCTGGTATGCACCCCCTCAGTGCCATAACAGCAATGCGGGGGGCACATCCCAGCTCCTGCAGCATGCAGTAGCCCTGCTCTTACCCACAGGAGCGTGTGCAAGCAGATGACCTGGTGAAGATGCTTTTCAGTGCAGAGGAGGTGGACCTGCCTCCGGAGAAGGTGCCAGAAATGGAGCCGGCAACCACAACAGATGCTCCCAGCCAGAGTGTGGAAGGAAAGGATGAGCTATGATGCCTGCTGAGGCTCTGCCCTGCTGGGAAGAATGGCACTAGCTAAAGCATTTCAGGGCTCCACCTGCCTTGACTGCAGCTCACAGATGCGAGGCACTTGTCCTGAGCCTCAGATAACTGACTAGCTCCTTTAAAGCCTCTCAGCAGGAGCAGCAGTATCTGTGGGCTGCTTTGATGCCTGGAGTCTGAGCACAGCCGGGGATGAAAAGGAACCTGCTGGTTTTGCACAGAGCCAGACACCCCTGCCCAGTGCCCACCACACCTGGATCCTTTGTCACAACCAGGCTCCCGATCTCCCATTGCAAGGACACGAATCCTTGGCTACTGAGGCTAGCCCGTGGTGGGTCGCGTCACAGACAAGGCTGCACCTGCAGTGGGGACTCTCTGCCCCTGGGTGACAAAAGTCCAGGATGCTGAGGTCAAACACTTTGAGACTTGGTACTTTGGTGTGGGAAAGAGCTGGAGCTGCAGCCAGTGCCCCTCACAGCCCACAGAGGACCTCTGAATCCAACCCATTGTGTGCCACAAGTATTTAAGTGCCTTCTGCAGGTGATTAGGGAATAAAGGTTTCTTTTCTAATATGTTCATTGTTTCTTTGTCAGCTGTGTCTGGAGCTCCTGTCTGCTGCTTACATGGGCGGGATTCCAGGCCCCCTTGGCTCCCTGCGCTTGGGTTGCAGCAGGGAGTGGGACAGTCTTGGATCAGGGTTGGGGTATAGGTAGGTGTCCTGCATTTCCCCTGTCTCCCAAAGACCTTTCCACCTGCCATTCTGCTCCCTCCACCTGGTCTCCTGCTTATGGTTTTTGGTTTCTTTATGGAGATGATGCTGCTGTCCTTGTCCTGGTTTAGACTCCCTTCTACCTTCTGGCTTTCTTCTTCTCTAGCCTGTGACTAAGCCACCCCTCTCCGTACTCCCCATCTGTCCCCCTTCTTGCACATCCCACAACCTCATCCTCAGATCTCTGCACCTTGCCAGTACTCCCTGTTGCTCAAGGTCACCCCGTTGACCAGTACTCACTCATCCTTGCCCCTCTGCTGCTTCTCCATGCATCTACTTGAGAGGAACTGGCAGGCACTGTGGTCTCTGCTGCTCTCATGTTCCTTGCATGGCACAAATAGAAGGGTTCACAATTGTGG